CATTATCATGTATAAATCAGAAACCTCATTCCTTTTCTTCACTAGATCAGTCTTTCTGTCCCTAAATTTTCAGTCAAATCTGCATGCATTACAAAGAATAAAGGCAGAAGAAAACAAAGTCACTTTGTGAGATGTTACAGAGAATATAAATTTGCGGTAAACGTTTAAAAGGTTTATCTCTGAATTATGTTTAATTCCCAAATAGTAAATGAAATATTTTCAGCAAGGAATACGCATCGCATGAAGCCATTTAAATACATATATTCATAACTTATTTAATTTATCGAATTTTCATTGCTTTCCTAACTTCTATATATGTATGTAGTTATTAGTAAGTTATCTTGTCAAAACGTTCAGTTTAAACAATTTAGAGTATTGTCATTAAAGTGAATTTTTTAGTTATTCTTATTGTGCATTAATTTTATAGTATTTAATGAATTTCAGTTTACAAAAAATGCGAGCTACTTTATGACTGATTATAAGAATTTTTTTAGTTAATATCTATCTATATTAGACATAACATCTATATTAGACATAACAAAACAGCAATATTCTTTTATCTTTTCAGGCAAACATAGTTTGTACGAAGCACGAGAAAGAGAAAGCCAAAATGCAAGCAACTATTGAAAAATTACAAGAAGCCTTCTGTGATAAAGAATCTAAACTGCAGGTACAGGATATTATCTATATATATATAAAGAAGAAAGTCTGTATGTTTTGATTGTCCTCTATATATAAATACTACTATAGCTACTATAGCTATTCTTCGCTAACTACTATAACTATCGTCACCAAACTTTCTACAATTCTTTTCTGGGTCATGGAAAAGGTCGACGTCCACTTTTTTCCAAAAACAAACAGCTAAACTCAGAGATATTAATTAAAAACTGGGAAAAACGATAATTTTCGCCCTCATTTTTCCGAGTGGCAACAGTCTCGCAAGCTGGAGATGAAAATCTGCTTTATTTCGAAAGTTGTTGCCACTTCTCGCTTTCAAATCCTAGAGTTTGTTAATAAAAATTTATAAGTTTTACGATGAAATAAAAATAACATTGCCAAACATTAAATGCATTATTCCCGATTCCAAAAATTCCCGGGAACCCATTTCGGCTATTATCATCTTCGTACGACTTTAATCATCCGAAATATTAATTAAAAACTCTGAATTTTCGCACTCATTTTTCCGAGTGGCAGCAGTGTCGCACGTTGAAGATAAAAATGCTTTATTTTGAAACGTGTTGCTACTGCTCGATTTCAAATCATAGAGTTTGTTAATCAGAAATTTTTAAATTTTACAGAATTTATAGATATAAAGAATAATGTCTGTTTGTGTGTTTGTTTATTCGCATTATTGGTTTCTGATTAATTATAATTTTATGTCACATTTAATCGACTAAAATTGAAATATAGGTGAAATATTGGATGGAACTTGAGCCTTTACAACCTTCTGTTTAGAAGGACGAAAATCATTAAAACCTGCGTGCCATTGTTGCTGGATATAATGAGAGAGAATGAGTTTATTTTTCTATCGAAATTTTTTATGTGGGTTCCATATCGCATCAGACTAAAACATGTATGACTATAAATCCTATTTTTTGCATCGTTATTAGAGAAGGATTATAGCGGTATCGTTTTCTCTGTTGTTAGATGCATTACTCTCAATCTAACTTCACTGGCATCGGGTACTTCCCCTTGTATAATATAAAAAAAAGGAATTTCATATGTTTTTACCCGCTATCGTATATTTAAAAAATATGCAAAATTCTTTAAATCACACTTTTTTCTATTTTTCTTAAATACATTAAAACCTAAAACATAACTATTAACTATAGTAATATCCTTGATCTTATGTGACTTGAAAAATAGGCGTTTCTCTGTGTGTTTGCCAACATAGGCATATTTTGTTCTTAAATGCTCTAAAACCTGAAAAACAACTATTAATTGTACTAATATTCTTGATCTTATATAATTTAAAATAGCTCTGTAGGTTTGCTAGCATAGGCGAATTTTAAAATAAAATTGATGAAAATTTATGATCTATCTGTTTATGGCAAACTACTCTAGGGCTATCTGCATACACGCAGAAATTGAAATTAATTGGCTGTTATGATATTCAAACATTTGAAATTTTGTTATTCTCCTAAGATAACTGGTATATGAGTGCCCCCGATTTTATTTTTAGTCAATTATGACACAGAATATCATAAACTTTAAAAAATTATTTTTCTTTTGTGCATTTAACTTAAAACACGTAACACACGTGATTAAATTTTCTCGTGTTATAGGATCTTGCCAACATGACAACGCGGCTGGAACTCCTCGCGAGGCAAATGAATAAATGATTAACAGCTTGGTAATGGAGTAATGAGTAAATGATTAATAGTTGAGTAAATAATTGACAGTTGAGTAAATGATTAACTGTTGTAATAGTAAGTGATTAACCAAGAGTAAATGATTAACAGTTGAAAGAAAGCAAAACCGCTGCCTTAATTTGGAGTAGATTTTAAATGAAAGCCTATCGGTTCGAGGACATATTTTTACTTCTGAAGAAGAGGGACATGTGGCTGATAGTTTTATTTAAAATATACATCAAACTGTGGTTGCAATTTTTCTCTAAATTTAAATTCTATATTAGTATGCTTCTCTTCCAATTAGTCAATAACTAGCTAGTTAATACTGCGACATTCTCGTCTCGTAAGAAGGAATATGAAAGTATTAATTGCATTTTTGTATTCTGTCAGTTATATTCTAAATGCGTAGTATTATATACTTACATATAATATAATTATAATGTAAAAAATATGTTGTATTTCCCCTGAGACAAACATTTATTCATATACTACATATAAATATTTATTAAACATTTATCTATTTTGTCAAAAAATCTGATGTGTAAACCACATGACTTCTTTGTACGGAATATTAAATTACACGATTTTTTCTTGCATTTCATTTAAACTTATTGGATTGAATTAAATTGAATTAAATGTACTTCGTAGATAGCGCATAAACCACAATAGAATAAATGCACTCTTTAAAGTTTACTATATTTGTTTACCATAGCGATACTTTGGTACTACGTTCACTTAACAGCGTTACATTTCATTCATTTTATAACTCAGAATGCACAACATTTATATTATCTGAAGAATTATCTAATCGTTGCCACATGTTCTATTCAAATACTATAATAAATCTAAAACCATGTATAAAAGAAATATTTTTTAAAAAAAAAAGGAAGAAGAAAAACTTTTTCACAGACGATTCGGTGTTTCTCATTCAATTAATTCAGTTCTCACTTCGCGACAACGCAAAATTACATAAAAAATCAAAATATATATATTAAAAATTACGAAGTAAATATTAAAGATTTATTTCCTCGAATAAATTCCAGAATGGATTAAGCATGATTGAATTCGCGATAATGAATGAAGGCGTTATCATTTTTTGTTGCAAAGCTTAGTTTCTCTAGATTGGGAACAAATCCACTATTCTGCTGACTTTCAAATGTAAACAAATATGGCCGCATGGTAATCAAAACGTAGGCTCTGCCGCATTTAAGAAACGTTTCTATTGTTAATACTTCCACAATTATTGCATGCAGGTTAACTAAAGGCATAAAAATCTTAACCAGAACAACATAAATCAATAATTTTTTAATCAAAAATGCACAATTTGCAAACGTATAGGAATAAAGAAACTGAACTCACTGAGGCGAGTAACAGAGTGGATATATAGATATACATAATATTTATATACATTTGGTGGGGCAGATAGCAACCAAAATATGAGGTGCACATCTACATGTTATGATAGTCCTACATACAAAATTTCAACGTTCTGAGTCTATTCGTTTTTGAGTTATGCGAGATACGTACGTACGCACAGATGGCACGAAAAATTCTCTTTATAATTCATTTTAAATCAATTTTATAATTTTTTGTGGAGGGTGAAAGAATCTTTTAGTCTGCCCTTATGTGCTGCAGTTGTCACGCAAAAAGATCGTTAAATTTCATTCGTTAGCCGCCAGAATGGATATTTTCGTTGAAATATGATACCCAAAATTTTTCGCGATTACAATACCTTCTTTTTACTTCGTACAAGGAAGTAAAATACAATGAATCATATTATCATAAATTTAAACATGCTCCTAGTCATAAAAAGATAAGGTATGCGAAGCGACTATGATAGGTAGGGCACGCATAACAACATCCATTACAGTAAGCATAAGCTGGAGAGCTTTTAATACTCATTTTGCTTCCGCACGAAATAATGCATTGGTTACGCTATTATTTTACTTTGTTTTCTAAGCGAAGTAAATATATTAGCTCTAAGTACAGGGTACCGCAAATTTATCTACAACAGGCCACAGAAATTTGACTCAAGATAGCAAAATACTTGAGGAAACTGCGGCTGATTGAGACAATTCTTTTCCTCCTCAAAGGACATTTAAAATAATACACCAGAGCTTCACTCTCATCTATGGCAACATGAAGAAACAAGCTCCTTCATCATCTAGAATATCTAGATTTCGGGTATGAAATAAACTACCAGTACCCTTAATCCTCTGAACATAGATCGCTTCTGTTAATGAATGATACTACGTTATAAAAAAGAACATATTTCAGAAGGAATACATTTCATATCAAACACATTAAACATATTAAACATACTAATTCAGAAGTCAAACAACAAAAATCAGCGTTATATTTACAAAATTTTCACAGGACTAGTTTCGATGGTTTTACCGAACCACCATCTTCAGCTGCAAAACCGCAAATGAACAAGATAGGAAATAATGATTAGATAAGATAAGATTTGTTGTTTGACTTCTGAATTAGTATTTATTCGGCGTGTTATTGTGTCTTAATTATATTAAACATGTAGACAAAATATCTGATGAGGACACCACATGACTTCCTTGAAATTATTCCTTGACCTATGAAATTATATATTTTTGTTGCTGCTCTTTTTTTAAACTTATTTCCTCGACTTCCATTAGATATATATATTTTTTATTGAATTAATTCAGTTCTCCCTTTGCGGTAAGGCAAAAAACTCAAAACATCTTCATTAAAAATTATAAAATGAAGAAAAACCTAAAATACCAAATGTAGTTGAAAACTATCAAAGAAAAACAATTTTTGCACAATGAGAGTTTGTACGCCAAAACAAGCAATTCGTCCAATGCACAGGAAGACCAAATTTTCGGTGCTCAAAAATTTAAAGTTAGCTCTTGGTCCCTCTGAAGTTGGTATACCAACTGACTTAATTCACAATACTACTACGAGCTTCAAAATATAAACAAATAGTTGCCGCTTAGGCCTAGCGATACTTAAGCTTTTAAATGTTTGATAATTCTACAACTATTGCATGCCGATTATCAAAAACATGAAAACAGTAACAGGAACATAAGAACTACATAAATCAATCCCTTTCAATCAAACCCATATATAAAATTTAAACAATCTGCGGCTACCCATTTTTAGCTATGCGAGATACCTAAGTATAGACGTCACGGGAAAAAATTCTCTTCTGAATCATTTTAAATCCATTTTACAATGCGTTTCTGAGAAAAGCGTCCTTTATTCTTTCCGTACGTATGCAACGCAAAAACATCGTCCAAATGGAATCGAGAGCGGTCAAAAGGGATATTTTCGTTGAAATATGATACGCGAAATTTTTCGCGATTATCGTACTTCCTTTACTTCCTACAAGAAAATAAAAAGAGCATATTTTAGGAAAATTCATGTCACATAAAGTAACAAAAAGAGAGCTGAAAATGTCTCGGATTAATTAATAACTGTGTGATATAAAATGAGCCTCGAATTACAAAAGACTTCTAAGATTATTGCTTATAAGGAGATTAAACATTGGCTTCTAATTTCGGTAAATAAGCTTAAAAATTTATGTTGCTTTGCTAGAAAATGTTATTAAAAATAACACCTGCATTCCATTGCTTAGAACCGTATTCTGTAGTTTAACATCCTATAGTTTCTACCATTAACATTTCATAAACCGGCTTTGGAGGAAGATGATTATTTTTATTATTAAAATATACATGAAAATATTTGTCATTTAAATTAACCCGACACGTTAAGGACTGCATCATTAAAGTCAACGTACTCGTATTTTTTTTTTTTTTTTTTTTTTTTTATCTGGGTTTAAAATAAAGACATACGACTTCCAGTGATGACGCTATTTGATGACAATGTCCCAAGCATAAGTATAATGAGTAATCGTTAAACGTTTTATAAACTGTTACATTCTTGCAGTTAAAAGCAAGCATAACGACTAGGAAGGACAGAACTCGATAATAATTGCCGCTCTCTTAGCCAAGAAAATGTATATGTTCTTTAAAAAAATTAAAACAGAATAAATATTTTAATGTCCAGAAGTTTAAAAATCTAAGAAACGAAAGCTCTTTATTTAATCAGTTTCTCTGGAAATCAGGTATTAAAGCATATTTCCTTACATAAACCTAACATAGATTTCACATATGTAATAATCAAGGACCAGCTTAACTTTCAAATAAAAACATTTCATCTCTTGACACTGAGAAATGTGATTATTTCACAGGCAATAATAATACCGTGAATGATTAAACGGTATTCATTACATTATCAAGTAATTACATTTTGCATTTGAATACATATATTTAATCCTCGTATCAATATAGCATGGATTTTTAATCCCTTGTACGAAGTATTGTAATCGCGAAAAATTCCGGTTACCATATTTCAATGAAAATATCTATTTTGACCGCTATCGAATGCAAGTTAACAATGTTTTTGCATGACATCTGTACGTAAGGACATAATAAAAGACTCTTTTTTCCCAAACGAATTATAAAACTGATTTAAAATAGATTCAAAAGAGAGTTTTTCTTGGCGTCTGTACGTACGTACGTATGTATATATCTCGCATAACTCAAAAACGAGTAGTCTCAGAACGATGAAATTTTGTATATAGGACTGCTATAACATGTAGTTTTGCACCTCACGTTTTGTTTGCTATCGGCCGCACTAAAAGTATATATATTGTTGCATGCGTACGGGTTCGTTATGAACTGAATGAACAAGTCCGATGAAAAAAGGACAAAATTTATTATTATCTCAACAAATAAAACAAAATGCTCAAATTTCCTCAGATATTCGTACAGTATTACAATATCTCGCAGTAGTTATCTTTTAACTACTCAAACATTCAACAGATCTTAATTCAAAACAGGTGGAGAAAGTTAATCCGCGAATTCGCTCCAGTCAACAAGAGCAGTTTTCTAAACAAACTCTCAAAGCAACGACTAAGTGAATTGCCAATGCCAATGATTATAAATTACGGAGTGCCTGTGATTCAAAACCGTGTATAACTGAATTGAGAGGTTTTCCTCCTTCTTATAAGCTTTTTAAATCCGCGCGAGATTGTTCTAGTAATTTCTCGAAATTAAAGAGATATTTATTAAATGTTAAATGCACGTGCTCTTGTATTTTTAATTTCCGGCTTAGCTTTCTTTTAATATTTGTCAAGCGCTGCACTGCACGGGGAATAAAACAATTTTATTTATAATTCTTCTAACATTAACTATTTAAATACCAAATCCGTAACTATATATATATATATATATACTTAATATATATTAATATATACATGCCTACTTCTGTTCAGTCTTTTTTATTGGTAAATTTCGCAAAAGCTTTAAAAATTATTGAATTATGTTGTTCTTATCTTCCGGTTAAGGTTTTTATGCTTTTGGTTAATCTGCATGCAATAGTGTAGCGTTATCAACAATTTAAAAGTTGTTTCAGTGCGTCTACGCCTCATTTTTTTACCGTAGCAGTCATATTTGTTTACATTTGAAACTTAACGGAATAGTGAATTAAGTCTTCGTGCACCTTCACTGTCTTTTAGCCCGGTAGGACCAAAAGGAAACTTTTATTTTTGTGCACCGAAAAATCTGCCTGATGACCGAATTCCTTGTTTTTGCGTAGAAACTCTAATTTTAATTGTAAAAATCATTTTTAATTGTCTTAACTGTATTTGGCGTTTTATGTTTTTCTATAAATTATTATTTGCTTTTGTGCGAAGTGAGAACTAAATTAATTGAATGAAAATAAATCTCTAATTAAATTCAAAGAAATAAGTTTAAATGAAATACAGGAAAAAATGAGTATAAATTAATATTTCGTATAAGGAAGTCATGTAAGTCTGATTTTTAATTCAATAACGACCCTAAATCTGTCGCCTGAATGAAGTAATTATCTAAACTTATCACAGTTCGCAGTTACGAAACTTCGGATAATTGGACTGACTGTTCTCTTTAACATGATTGGTTAGTTATCCGAACGTTCCGTTCGGAATAATAATGAAATCTACACTCATCCACGTCATTAAATGTTCCTATTTATTATCCTTTATAAAATAAGGGGTTTAATTACAATAATTCTTTATTATTACGTGAACGAAGAAATTGCTTTTGAAAATTATTCATTCGTAATTTGCCAATTTGGCCTCATTAGTGTAAAACTCGTTTTTGTGTTTCGTTTGTAATTTGGAGTTTTGGTTTCAATTCTGAAGGTAAACTTTCTCCAGAACTGTGTATTTAATGTCACCTAAATTAAAAATTCTTATCTGATCATAGCATGAAAAACGTAATTAAATTTTTTTGACCGGTCAAAAAAATTTAATTAAAAATTCAACTGTGATTATATTTAACTGTGATATATAATAATAATAAAATCAATTAAAATATCAACTGTGATTATATTTGAATTTATAAAAATTTTACTTCGATAACTTGAGCTTTATTTAGTTAGTTCATTCTGAACCTGTTATTTCTTAGGAATTTCTTTACTTCAATAACACATCTTTGTGAAGCTTATATTTCCTTTATTGGAATTTACTTTATACCTACTTACTTAGCCAATAACTATATTTCTAATACAGTGATAATATAAACATATTTTGAAGGCTGGATTTCAAATTTCCATTATTAAATTTGATATCTAAGATTTTCATCTAAATGGGATGGGAATAAAATGGAATACCAAATCTAAGTATGTTTGTTAATCACACGATTTTTAATCTTTTCAGGACACAAAATCTCAACTCGTGCGGGAGCGTCGGATGTCCGAAATTATGGAACGCCAACTGAAGAATGCCCGAAACCTATCAGAGCAACTAGGTCGAATAATACACGATAGGGAGCAGGAGATCCGGACACTGAAGAATCTCCTCAACAAGAGGCAGGATAGTAAGAACATCTCAGAGGCCGCTTTTCAGGCTGCCATGCTCAAACGACAAACGGACAGGAGAAAATCAGTGTCGAAAGATGATTTTCAAGGTTCCATGCGACGGGTAAGTTTGAGCTTCATTGAAAAGAGGGCGTGACAGAAATATATGATGGATAGACTGTCAGAGACAGGATAACTTCCCCCCTCCTTTTGCGTTAAGGATGCGGAAAGGACAAAAATTGTTTAAAGGCTTCATTTATTGATTTCTTTGTAATCAATAAAAAATGCCATTATGGAAATCATTTTGTGAGTATTATCTGAATTTATCGTGATAAAGATTATTGTGCTTCGAAGAGGTGGTCCTAATTCTCGGCTACAAATGACAATACAAATTAATCTATTTAACTATTGATTAACTAATTAAATTAAGACTAATTAATTATATCTTCAGAAGAATTATAAATACTTCTGATATGTGGAATGATTATTCCGCAGGTTAATAAGGCTACATAATTCAGAAAGCGAAAGGAGGAATAGTGGAAGGTATATTGGGTCATCCGGAAAATTCTGCGTTTTTCAAATCAGAGCGCATTTCCTTTTCAGTATTTTGTTGCTTCTGATAAGCATGAATCTTATCTTGATTGAAGGGAATATTTAAATATGATCTTTTCTGCTCATTTTTTTTTATTCTTGCACATATTGTTGAATAATTTTTTCCCAATGTAATGAAGAACCCAGAAGTTTATTTTCATTATGCTATGCTCTTTTATTTTGAAGCAGTAAAAAATGCTTGTCAAATTGCTTGTAAAATTTGTGCTACATATGGACAAAGTACTGTTTCTGATGACCCAGTTTGAAGGCAGTTTGAGAAGTTTAAGGGATGAAATTTCAACTTTGAAGATGATATCCGTTCTGGATGACCATCCAGTGTAAACAAGGGCCTATCAAGGGAAGCTATTGCTGAAATTCCACTTTTATATAATTCAGAAACTATCAGACCGTCTAATTCCAAAACGTACAGTACATGATCATTTGAAGAAGATATGGAATGTAAGTTGTTATGATTTATGGTATTTTAATAGAGCAGGATATGCTTGCTCGAGTTTTGGCATGTGATTCTTCACTGAAAAAAATATAAAGAATCTCCTCTTATTTTGTATTTCTTGAAACGGCTCATTGCTGAAGATAAGAAGTGGATACTACATAATAATTTTACAAGAAAAAGATCAGGGAGTAAGCCAGAAGAACCTCCTTCAGTACCAACGAGAATGGGTTGCATCCGAAAAATCTAATGATTTGTGTATGGATGAGACCATAAAGGAACTGCAAACCAGGATTTGTTGCCACGAAATTAGACAATAAATTTGAGAAAATTCCGTTCCCAAATGGTAGTTTAAAAGCAGAAATCGATGCAAAGCGCTCAGAACTGACCAATTTTCGAAGTGCTCTCATGGAACATGACAATGCTCGACTTCACATTTCGAAGAATTTCAGGCGAAAACTTACTCGGTAGAGTTGAGATGATTTGAGTCATCTCTCATATTCACTAGATCTTGCTCTTTTTGTCACTTCAAAATTATCTGAATGGCATGGAGTTCACTTCTTTGAAGAATATCAAACAGCACCTGGATAACGTCGCTATAAACAAAAATTCGGTACCTTTTTTTAAATAAAGAAATGAGCCAGCTACCAGAGAGAAGACAAAAAGTCATAGAACAAAACAGCGTTTATGTGTTTCAATGAAATTTGCTTGTGTTTTTGTACTGCTTCATTTGCATTTATCCTCTAAAAAACGCAGAACTTTCCAGATGACCCAATATTTTATGAAAACATTTCTCGCAAAGTAAAAGTTCGTTTTATTCCACTTCAAAGCGCCCAAATCGTAACACTAAAAGCTTAAAAAATATAGCTTTTTATACTTGTTATTAAATTTCTTCTCCCTATCAAAGAAAAAACTTTTTTAACAACAGTTACGTGTATGAAGTCTTAAAATTGTTTTACAATTATTTTTAAAATATTAGTGCTTTCCATGATAATATTAATCTATACTGTACAGGGAGAAATCTTATTCCTTTATTTTGCGTAATGTAGCGACGAACTGGTTCACCCCTCTTCCGATTTGACTATTGACCCATGCCTTTAACCTTTTTATGGGAAATAACAGGCATTTCGTGATTGCATTTTCACCGGTGTAATACAGATTACAGATTTCCTTAATTATAACTCTTTCTTTTCTTATCTAGCCTGCCATAAAAGATTTTTTTATCTATAGTGCTTTGTATATAATTTACTTCTTCTGCAGAAGGTGCGGATCAATCATAATTCTGAAAATAAAATAATGAAATTTAACTATTTCCTAAATTAAAACTTAGAAATTCGTTTCAAAATTGCAATAAAATAAATATATGAAAGAAATTAAATCATTTTTCTTTTAGTGATTACTTTATCACATTTAGAATTTGAGATGCAATAATTTAAACCAGCACAGGAGATTTCTAATCGCTACTTGCATACAAAATTTCATTATCATCAGATAATTTCTTGGTCTATCTTTTCTTTAACCTGTTAGATCGTACGTATAATCAGTCGAAAATTTGCCTGTAGAAAAGTGTGGGTATCGTTTTATGCAGCTAATTATTACGAAAAATTAACGGATGAAGTTTTATAGTCTTGGTATTTGCATATGAGGTGAGTCTGCCATGATGAATTCTGTGAAGATGGCTTCCATAAAAAGGTATCATATATGATAATAAAGTTTCATGTCTTTGTCAATGCAATGAAAAATATGCTCGATACGTAATTCACGCAAACAATCTGTCTGTATTATAAGAAACTTTTTTTAACGTTATTCATTCATATTCGTACAATTTATGGTGAATTCAAGAGAAATCGATGCAGTTATCCGATGTTAAACTGCAGTTGGTTATGGTAACTGTACCTAGAAGATGGCAGCAATAGCTTGATTGAGTTAAAAGGACATATTCACGACACGGTACTAAGAAAGTGAGACTTCTGCCCAAACCAAGCCACTTACTTCCTTAATAGTGTTTAGTTGTATTTATTGCCGAGTCATATATGCGTTATCTTTCTGGGGAAACTGACACCACACTCTGTGTATTCGTTCTTTATCGTTATTAATTATAACAAATTTAATCTTTCTGTAACATGGCTTCCTTCTTAACACGACAAAGAATAATAAAATACTGTCCTGAATTACGATTAGATGTAAACAAAAAAGTTGAGGGAATATTTATATTTTTGTAAAAGCGCGGTATTTTTATTTTAAATATTTGCAACCAGTAACTTTCCTTACACATAGGCATATAATCTTCTTAATAATTTTTCTTACACAGACAGAACTTTTTAACTTCTCGAAGGCTACATATTTTATGTATAGACAGAATATTTACTTTAAATGTAGTCATTTTTATGAAGCTGATAATTATTTACTTATCAAAAAGAAATTATCTGCGTTTTAAAGAAAATATCGCTATTTTCCTCAATGTTTATGCGCTTTTTCTTCTATTTATTTTTATCTTTTTCGTTATAAACATTTATTTTCAATTTTGTAATCAAAATTGAAAGTTCTACACGTTACATTCCCCCCCCCACAAAAAAAGGTTTCACTCATTTTTTTCTGAAACACCTTTCTTGCATCTACGCATATTATATTACTTCTCATTAAATTTTCATATTTTGACTCTAAAAGTATGATATTCGCAAAATTAATTTTGACATTTAAATACCGACTTTGTGTCATCATCAGTTTTTATTTCTTTAAACGCTATGAGGATAAGAAGCTTTTTCAAATGAAAAATATCTGATTTTGCTGCATCGTTTCTTAGAATTATTTCGCCAGCTAATGTTTTGTACTTGTCACTTTCAAAAGAAATAACATTTGATTCCAAAACATTTTTACGCCACGTTTCCTACAAAGATATGGGAAAACATATGAAAAAACTGGAAATCCATTTAATATTTTTGAAATAATTTAATGCTTCCAAATGTTTAATAAATGAATAATATTATATTTTAATATGCATTATTTTGTACGACATTGATAACACATTGTTTTACTTTACCTTACTTGATGCCTAATTAATTGTGTAATATTATCAAGTTTGATTTCTTATCTTTCGACAAGCTTGAGTAATTTATCAAAAGAAATCTTACGTTTAATTTATATTTCTAGAACTGTTAATTTGTTGGATTTGTTGGTGATTTATTTATTTATTGAGGTCCTGGAAAAGCATACTAGGGCTATCTGCGTAAGGGAAGGGATGCCTTCACGTAGGAATTTCAAATGGAAACTGGCTCATATACATGTTACACATGGTAAAAAACCAGGAAAAAGTTCATGTAGCCAGCCCGTTTCGCTGCAACCCAGCCCCAGGTTGGAACCAGGTCCGTTCCAGGTAGAAACCAAGTCGGAACTGACAGTGTTCAGCGACTTCACTGCTCGGATGCTGGTGGACTCGGATTCGCTAATTAAATATTGCGCAATTAATGTACGAATTGATTTTTATTTTTAGAATTTTTTCCCTATTTTTAAATTAAATTTATAGGATTATTGCATTTCACTAAGAAATATTTACCCCAAAAGATGAATTTGTTGTTTTATTTTCCTCTAAAATTAAATAATAAGAAACTTACATTCGTAGATTTAAAAGTGAATGCATTCTTCACTTTAAAAAGGGAAAACAGTCATCTATATGAATGAGTATTTTTTTAATCTCACAAATGTAAAATTATTAATTATATCGGAATAATTCATCAAACCAAATTATTTATTAACTAGAAAGCTTTTTTTCGATGCAGAACATTTTAAAACACAGAGTGTAACTTAAACTCCTGCAAATAGGAAAATTTAACTCAACCCATATATAAATTTGAATAAACATAAAAGCTGAGTTTGAAGCACTTTTTATTAGTATGTTCAGAAACTTCCCTCAACAGCTTATACTGTTGCATGCGTACGGGTTCGTAATAGACTGAGTGCCCACCAGCGGCCGAGCGGTAAAGTCGCTGAACACTGGTAGTTCGGTCCGAGGTTCGAATCCCGCGGCGGGCTGGCTGCATGGGTGTTTTCGTGGTTTTCCCCATGTGTAACGTGTATACGAGCCA